TGCTTAAATAAAAGGCTCCACATTGAGTACCAGTCATTAGCAAGTGCAAGCTGATTACATTTCAGGGAGACGTCTGAACTTCCCAAGCCTTGTATTTCATACCAGAATCCTAAGCTGAAATATTTTCCTGTAGTAACACTTTTGATAGAGGCAAAATAATTTAAACAAATAATTAGCCTTGAGAATAAAAGTGTACACAAAAGCACAATTAATGAATTTACTAATTGTTCTTCCCTGCTGTGGACATTGCTCAAAGTTGAATTTTAAGCTATTACATAAATATAAACTACTGTACCAAGCCACAAAACTGGATGACTCACCATTAGTCATTAATGTTGTCTTAAAAACAAACTCAAGCTCTCAGAGAGAAAATGTGTTCACGTAGGCAGACATTATTTTGAAAATAAGTCTTAGATGATAAACTGGTCTTTGAGTCTTTGGGAAAACACACATTCACACTAACACACACAAGAGATCTGTGGGTTTTAATGCCCTCTATAAATATCAGACAAGCAACATTTACCTTGTTTAAAATTCTCCACTAGCTGGACAGGAATGAATTTGGTCCGTCCCGACCATGTGGTAGAAAGCTTCCACCCCTTCCCTCTCCCACCTCTTGCTGAAACAGAATACAAATGTGAACTAAAGTGTCTTTTGTGTTTGACATGCTCTGTACGTGAGGGGGACAGCTTTGTCCTCTCCTCTCTGTCCTTCTTTCCATCTTCTTTTCCTCCTCCTTTCATTCCTACAGAAGGAGTGCTTCCTGGCTTTGCCTAGAAGGCTGCAAGCTATAGAAACTGTAAAACAGAAACTATTCTCATGTTTTCCCAGCCTGGGAACAAAAGTGAGAGAAGGCAACAGAGGGATAGTCAAGGGTTAGATAAATTCCTGGCTGGACTTCTGGGTGTTTCCTTAAACAGAACAACAACAAAAAAAGATTTTTGAATCCCTTAGGGTGATTGTTTTTTAATACGGCTCCAAAGGATTATTTCTAATTTTTATATTTTACATTAAGTAATGCTCCAACAACCACCTATAAGCAATGCACTTTAAATTAAGCCTTCTCTGTGTAAAGAATTAATCATTCATACTCCTGGTTTTGATGTCTTAAGGGATTGCATGTGGATTGATATTAATTCGTAAACTGCAGACACCCGTGGCGAGGTGGGTGGGGGCTTCTCTCACCTACACCTGATATGTGATAGACTCTTCTATAGTGCTGTGGTACAATTTTAATACGAACAGTTGCAAACAATAAGAAGCCCTAGAACGATGAGAGGACCTAATATTTGAGGTGGAAGAAAAGGAGGGAAAGCAGTCAGGTGAGGGTGAGGGAGTCCGAGTACTAGAACTTACCTGGAAAAGCTGCTTTTCGGTACCCCACTGGGTGGGAGGGCAGAGGCCCTGGGGGGCAGGGGGGAGGCGGAGGAGGAGTGGGGGCAGTAGCTTTTCCTCAGCTGGCCAAGTCCCCACCGGGTCTGCAGTGTCCTCTTCAGGGCACAGGGGCCTGGTTCCCAGTATGGCTTGGCAGGGAAGGGGGCAGCGTGATGAGGTAAGGTAATTGTAGTGGCTCCTGCAGGGTCCTTTCTCCCCACCAATGTGAGGTTTATACTGTAAGGCTTTGCTCCGCTCCCCTCACCAGCCCTGTGCCTGAGTGCTGGGAAGCAGAGGAGACAGGGAAAGGGGGGCCGCCTGCACGGGGGCCTCGTGCCCCTCAGGCCATCCTTACTGATGGGAACGCTGGCAAAGTTGTCCAGACAGTACATTTTGGATGATTTGGGTAATTTCAGCAGAAAGGGGGGCCTGGGCCTCTGTGCAGGGTAGCAGAGGGAGGGAACGTGACTTTGAGGGAACAAAGGACAAAGAAAAAAGATGGGAGAGGCAGGCAAGCCAAGGTATTTTTCCATCTTTGCATTTTCCTCAGGGCCATCCCAGTTCAGCAGAGCGAGGCCCAGCTCCCCTGAGATGGACTGGAAAGACATTTCTCCAGGCAGGAAATCTAAGCAGCCAGGCCCCTCTCAGGCCGCACAGCTGGGAGTGGCCACCACGGCGGCACCCTGCAGAGGACAGGGCCTGGGGGTGGCTGTGGCGCGGCCTCACAGCCAGCTGGGGCTCTCTTCCAATTTGTTTACCGCTGAGTTCTGTACTCAGGATCCCAGAGGAGTGGCTGGGTGCCCAGCGTCCTGTCTTCTGCTTGCATTTGGATCCTGGCTCCTCTGTCATCTCCCACCAGTGGGATCTTGGGGCACAGTTTTTGACCTTTCTGTACCTCAGTTTCCTCCTCTGTAAAGTGGAGATAGTAATAGGACCTACCTGATAGACCTGCTTTAAAGATTAAATGAGATAATCCGTAGAAAGCACTGGAACAGTGTCTAGTACCAAGTGTTGTAAATGTCAGCTAAAATCCCACTTGCGTTCCCCTCCACAGAGTGCAGAATGTACCCATATATCCAAGAAGAACATATCAGAACTGCTCTGAGTTTTTTTCCTGGAATGATTTCCAGAATCATTTGGCTTCTGGAGAGGGAATTATAAGGCAGCTGAACTTCTCTGGTTCTGTCTTCGACTCATTACCGTGCAGGAGTAACACAGGTTAATCACGTAGCTAATTAAGAGATAACATTAATGGAATCTGAGTTGGCGCCCTGATAAAGCTGAGCTCTGGCAGGTGAATGCTGAGGAGGAGCCAAGCTACTTATTTGAGGAGCAGCAGGCCTCCTATCAGGGCACCCACTCTGGTTCCATTCAAGTTGCCGATATTACACCCCCAGTTAAAACCATAAGAAAATTCAGCCCATCTTTTTCTCTGTTTCCTTTTTTCTGAGGCAGCCCAGAAGTAGCAGGACCACTGATCAAACGTAAGAACAGCTAGGCAATATGAGCCCTTAGAATTGAACAACACACTGAATAATGAATTAACAAATAAATGAATGAATGAACATTAAAGAAATTCATTCAGAGCAAACACCACTGCAATTAATATGCTGCCATTGGCAGGGGGATGTTGACACGGAGTCCAGCAGACCCGATCCCTCCCTGAATCGATCAGTTGTTTTTTTTTTTCAGAGCTTTGCCTCTGAGCAAATCAATGAAGGACCTGAAGTACCGTTTCTATATTTCTCCTGTCTCCTCGCAGTTTACCTGATGAAAGGCTTTAGGAGATTTCCTCTCCTCCTGGCTTTAATAAATTCTCTCATGGCTTTAATTGTTGCTTTTTTTTAACCTTTCTTGGGGAGTAATGATCAATTACTGCTTTCAGCAAGCTGATGGCTGACAAATTCTATCTGACATAATGGAGCCATGATTTAAAGACAGAGCCGTCCGTATCATGGCATATGGCTGCTTCAGGAGGGACAGCAAGGATTACATTGTGCCGTCCACGAGGGCTCGGGCATCCTGAACTTAGCCAAGGGCATTTCTGAGAGCCACCAGCAACCTGAAATACAACCGGACTCCAGCTCAGGACACTGACCTCAGCATGCTGTCATCTCGGATCGTGGGCTTGCTGACCGCCTCACAAGCTCCCACACCCAGGCTGCTGGTGCCCTTGACTCTGCTCCCTAAAGCCGCACTGGAGCAAACTCCCTTTGGAGTCAGCAAGCTCCAGCAAAGGTCTGGTGGTGACTGAAGCATGTGACTTCACTTGACATTGCTGTGCTGAGAGTCCAATACCAATTCCATGATAAGAACTGGACACCAGGGCTCTCTGGGGACCAGGCATCAGTAACATGTGTCAGTCTGGACAGTGTCCCAATGCCAACTCCACCACTTCCATAAACCTGAATTCTCTGAGCCTTGAGAGAATATCCCTAAAATACAGTGTCCACAGCATGTAAACACTCAACAGAAGGGCCTGTTACTGCCTTAGCTGGGATCGCTGTTATGGTCACACACAGTGTTCTACAGCCCAAAGCTTAGTGGAAGCAAAGTCAGATTTCAAAGGGGTGTAAAACAGGAGAAAAGGAATCACACTGTCTCAGTGGTTAAGTCGCATAACAGGAAAATTCAATCGAGACTGTTTGATTTTGACATCCTGTATCATGACTTTAAGTGAGTAAATTTAAATTCCAGGAAAGTAGTTCTGTCATTTTTTTTTCAGCTATATAAATTAAGAATAAGTTGAAGATTGAACATTCACTCACTTGGTGTTCTTCTAAATTCCCATGTACTGAGTCCCCAAAGCCAATTGGTTCATGTTAGCAATTTGCCAAATAAATCTGAGCATACCTGAGACACGGAAACTCAAGGGGAAAATCCTTTTTTTCTCTCCTGAAGTTTTAAGCAGAAATTTTACAATAAGATGAGATGCCAGAATTGTGTTGATATACATGAAGGTCTGTTGTTTAAGTCTTATAAATGCAGGATTATGCTATTTATTTCAATTGCTTCATTAGGCAAGTAACTCATAAGCATGTAAATATGCAAGAACAAAAGTAGTCTATGAAAACTATGTATAGGAAAAACAACAGGCAAAATAGAAACTCACCATGAGAAATTAAATCTCTAACTAAAATCTACACACAAAGCAAGCCGGAGTTTTATGGAGATGGTGACCTACCTTGCCTATGTACTAAAGAGTAAATTCTATTCTGTTCAGTCCTTGATAAATACACACAATTTCTATGCTGAGCTAACTCTAATTACTGACACTGTCAATATGAGGTACGTGCCCAGGAGCGCAGAGCAGCTAGTGGACATGAGGATTTTCTTGATTTTTTTTTTCCTGGTGGGAGTAGGATACCAGGGTACAGAATTTGTGTTTTCAAACCCTAAACGAGCAGTTCCCCCTCTATATCCCTCCACATCTCGTTCCATTTGGAACAAGAACACTGTACACAGATGCAGTGAAGATGCTATACAAGCATGGCTATGTGGGCAAACAGAAACATCTCTTTGTCAGAGAATCCAAGACATGCCAGAGTCAGAGTGAGAAGCCGATCTGCTGGGAGGAGTCAAGCTTCTATTTGCTGTCGTTCTCTGAAGTCTTCATTAGAGCCAGTTTTGCCTCTGTCTCTTGCCTCAGTTCGTCTCTTTCACACTTTGACTTCCACAATATGTTGGCACCATCTGTATTCTTTCACCTAGTTCTTTGTGATTCCTTTCAACTCAGTTTTTATTTACTTCGTGAGGGCAGAAACAGTTTCCTTTATTTCTCCCTATTCCCTGAGCCAGATGCACAGTCTGTAGCATGGAGAAGGTGTTTCTGAAAGTGTTTATTAAATGGGATTGCTGAATGTGGTCCTTGGACCATCTCTTCTCCATCCTATTGTGTCTGTTTCCCCTGGGGTTCCCAAATGGAATGGGTCTGAAACAGTGCCCTTCCTAACTCCTAACTCACTATTCACTCCAACGCCTGCAGCTCTCCTGGAGTCACAAAAACGTTCTCAGCCCTCCTTCTTCTCTTCCCTTGCATTTTCTCATCGGGAAACTGCTTCTGTTTCCTTTGCTCAACAAACCCCCTGAATGGCTTCTGGGCCAGCCTTGCTTTCTCACCTATGCCCACCATGGCCACTGTGAGTGTGAAATAGTGAGATGCTAAAAACCCCAACTTGCTATAGCTATGGAGGGTTTTAATGGTGACCCATAGAGGATGCGGTAGCCTCAGTGAGGGATGCTTCCTGAGCCTTGCTCTTTGGCAGAGGTTAATCTAACACAGGAGCAATATAGATCCATCTTCTCTCCATATAGCTCAGGTAGACATATAGGCCATCCACAAAGCAGAAAGAAACCACTCTTAGTAATACTTGTCTTGCAGCAGGGGTTTTGAAATGGGCATTGGAGAGAAGGAAATGCTCTTTAGCAATACACTAGTATAGTCTCTGTTTTTTTAATCGAAAAATCACATACACCCTATAATCACTTTCTGCAAGTCACACTGTGCTATATCAAGCCTGAATCCAGAGAAACAGAGCATACACCACTTCAGTAGAGGGAATTTTATATGGGCTCCTGGTTACAAAGGCATTGAAAAAGTTGAAAAAACAAAAACAAAAGCAAAAATAAAACAGGAGGCAGGAAGGCAAACCAGAAATTTACAACTGCAGGAAGCCTCTAGGGCTTGACGATCCCAGGGATGCAGCGGTGTTTCTAGATCCAAGAGTTCAATGGTAACTAGAGTCACAGAGGGAGGGCCTGTCCCAGGCATCTGGGACCACAGAGATGGCAGAAATGCCACCAGGAGCAGAAGAGAGGGAAGAAATGCTGTGGATTCCCTTTCTCCCACTTCAGATCACCCAGAGTCATTTAGAACCCAGTCCAGCCAGCATTTGATAACAATTCCAAGGCAGGCATCAGTGGGCTGGACAGTAGGTGGGTCACATGCAAGAGGTGCCGAAGCGCTTGGACAGGCAAGAAGAACATAAATCTCAATGGAACCAGAACAAAGACTGTTCTATCCACAGCCAGCTATGAGATATTTTTTAAACTGTTTCTTTTATGAGGAATAAATAGAACTTGATAACAGACCTCCAGTATATATTCATTTATGGTTTCTTGCATATCATTATTTTTTATGGTTTACTGCACATAGTTCTCATTTCACAGCATATGTTCTGTCATTTTCATTAATGTTTTTATTGTCTTCATAAATTCTAGCAGTGAAGGATTCTTCCAGGTGTTGTCACAGATAGATATTTGAAGAGGGTTGTCCCTTCTTGACCGTTATGGGAATAATATTGGTGTCCTACTCAAATAGGAAGAGGCCTATATGATGTTTGATTTTGACTGGAAAAGCTACACACTACACAGCCACGGACAATGTTTCTCACTTCTCTTCTTTGGGACAGGCCATCTCTGATATTTCATTTCATTAGACAAGACAAATGGAAATTTTTATGGTCTCTTAAAAACTTCCCCAGCTCTCCATCAAAATCTGAAACGCCCGCACGATCCTGTTCCCCCAGAGGGCACCTACAGTCTTCTTTGCCCCTGTTTCCTTCTCTTCCTTTCAACATCTCTCTCTCTTCCAAATGAAGTCCTTATCCCAAGCTCTGATTTTCTTGTATCTGAACTTTTACTGTTTCCTCCAGAAACTTCCTTTCTTGGTCACTGATGACCTAGAAGAGCACGCCATCCCTTACTAACCGAACCAATCCTACTGTTCAGTTTGGAGTTCCCAGTTTTGGTCCCCTGCGGTCCCCACCCCGTCTTGTTCCTGCTCTCTCTCCCGCCCCGTCCGCCGACCCCAGTCCCTGGTCTGCCCGTGACCCCACATTCCCACCCCCCAACTGGGCACCTCTGTGGTTTGCTCTGTCCTTTGCTGCTTTCTCTGCGGCAACACCCTCTCCCTGCCCCCCACACCAACCATGCTCCAGACGGCCCCCTGCCTCCAGCCAGTCTCTACCCAACACAAGTTCCAGAACCTGACTCTGCTCACAGAATAGAGGGAAAACATCCCATGCTCTGAAGTGTCACAGTGGGAAAATCTCCTTTTCCATCCTTTGAGGAATATTGACAAATCAAGGTGGCCGTGACAGTGAACATTTGGAGTAGGCCACCTTAATGGCTTCGTGCAAATGAGCTTCATTTCATAAAACAGGAGCTGTTCACAGCCCCCTTTCTGCTCTTCCTCTCTCCTGACCCAATAGCTGGCATGTTCCCTAAAGCACAAAGCAGAGCAGCAAATCCAGGGTGAGGCAAGCTTGGTGGCAAGGCAGAGCCCTGCCCCAGACCCCAAGCTCCTCCGGCTTCCAGTCTTGGTAGCCGAGGAAGGAGGGTGCCCATCATTTCAAGGGCGGGGGCCTCTGTGGAGATTCCTCAGCCTCTCCTCTTAATGAGTTTAGCTCCAGAGATGGGCAGCTAGAGCATTCCCGCCGAGCATAATTACCCTGACTGGGCACCTGGGGAGAGATTGTCACAAAAATAACTGGGTCTCAGGCTATTTAACACTTTACAGATGAGAATAAGGTGGTGACTTGGAAAAATGAGGTCTGGTTTGGCTAGGAAGACTGCTATGTTTCATTTTCCTCCCTCCTGTAGAAGTGTAAACCGTTGTGTTTCTAACTGATGTACATAAGCCCAGGGCACAAAATGGACTTAGGTGAGAAATCACAGGATCCCAAGGCCGGATGGGAGAGGAGGGGTCGTCCTGTCTGCCCGCCACCTGCAGGCAGGACTGCTCACACACCATCTCGGAAGGAGGGCTGGCTGCCCTTTCATCACAGCCTCGGGAGGATGGAGCCTGCGGGCACCCAATGGCTGCCCGGGCACCACTGCACACTACAGAGGGCTAGTCATGCGAGCCTGCTCCAGCTCTCCTTCTTAAAAGCCCCACCCAGGGGCAGGGACCAGTCCCTCACAGGGGCAGCTCAGAGCACTGACCTGAAATGTCAAAAATTCACCTGGCAGCAGAAATAGACTGAAGAACACACAAGGAAAATGTATTGAATCATCTTGTGCAAATTCACACCTCGCTGAGGAGCAGAGAGAGAATGTGAGCTCTTACCCACCGTCACAGTCTAACTGTGAGCCGCAGGATGGGCTGGGGCTTCTGCTTTCCCCAGAGAAAAAGCCCATGGAGGGTCTAAAATGGGGACCAGTGGAGGGGGGATTTGACAGGGAGCCCTTAGGCCATTTAGAAGCTGATATTCAGACACCTGCAGAAAGCAACCTGCTAAGCACATGTAGGGGGCTTGGGGGCTGCAGTCCCCTCTCAAGCTTTAGTTCCTCTCTTGTCCATGTTAATGTAACAAGGCCGAGATGACCTGATACCAGTGAGCCAAGGGGGGTGTTTTAGGGCCTGGCAGAGGGAACCGACCATCTCCTGGGGCTGGTCAGATTAGATAAGATCCACCAGGAAGCCTGGACACATTCCCAAGGTTCCAGGGTTCAAGGGAAGTTTGAAGGCAAGGAGGCCCTGCTCCCTGCAAAGATCCTAACCCTTCTCTCTGCATGTGCGACCTGGAGCCCCTGGACTTCACATGCCTCTGAAAACTGAAGAAGAGATTGGGGAATCCATGCTCTTGGGAAGAGGTGGACAAACTACAGCCCATGCTCTGTTTTGGAAGAGCCCAAATGCTAAGAATGGTTCTTACATTTTTAAAGGGTTGGGGAAAAAAAAAGAGAATATGCAACACAGACCATACCTGACTCACACAGCCTGAACCATTTACTATCTGCCCTTTGCAGAAAAAGCTTGTCACCCCAGCTCTAGGGCACTGGTCCTCAAATTTCCACATTCATAAAAGCCACTTAGAGCACTTACTGCATATTCCGATTATGTCCTCCAGACAGCTGACTTAGCAGATCTTGGGTGGAGCCCCCAATATCTGCATTCTAATAACCATGGAAGGTAATTCTAGCGTTAAGTGAGCACAGGATGACCTTACAAATATTCCCTTTGAACTAATCAATAAGTATATATTTTACAATTTCTATGTGGCCAGATCTCTGCTGAATGGAGAGGGAGACACAGCAAAGAAGATAACTCACCTCACTCTGTGGAAGACTCTTCAGAATGAGCTGAAGGAAAGCTTCTTAAATGAAACTGCTAGAGATGAGTCGGGGGCAAATGGCATGGGGCCACTGTCCATGACCTGGGGTTTTGGGTGCAGCGCCATCACGCGGGGTCGTGGTCACGCCGGTTGCAGAGTGGAATGGAGTGCCTGAGAAAGAGCCGACAAGGTTTGGGATGTGGGCAAGAAGTCGTTTGCAGAGGTGCAGAGGAGGAAGGGGCTTCTGGAGTGAAAGCTGCCGACGTGTGGGCAGAGAGCAGAGGCCTGACTCCGGAGGACAGCCTGGAAAGCAGAGCCCATGGGCGACCTCTTCACAGCAAGATCTACTCAGAGGAGCAGCTTCTCCTCCTTCCTCCTCCTCTTCAAGCCTTGTTAGGTCCTAAGCCAGAGCTATGGGGATTCTACATCATTCTACCTAAAATTAATTTAGTAATTTCCCACCCTCTCCCCACCTGCATCCATATATACTCCATAAGCTTACTAACTTATGTCTCTGTTTCTTTACAGAAACTATTCTTATAGACTTGATTGTTCTTTCCATATCACCATCTTATTTATAAAGAAAATTCTGTCTCATCTCCAAGACCCAGTCCAAGCATTATATTTTCCTTAAAGCAAGGATCTCTCCAATTTCTTTCCCTCCTGAACAGAGCTAAGCAATTTTTCAGTTTGCACCAACCTGGTATCTTGAACAAAGTAAAAGAATAGGGCTCACACCATATTAGAATGAATTGTCTTCATTTCTGTCTCTCTCTTGTACAAGACTATGACCTCTTTGAGGTGAAAACCATGTTCGTCCACTTCCATTTCCTCAGCGCCTGCAACAGTGCACATCATAGCTGGCTGCAAACTTCCCTTCCAAGGATGACTGAATAATTCAGGAGCAGGGCATTTTCAGTTTGTGGAGGCCCCTAAACATCAGAGAGTGGTGCCTTCAGCACCACACAGTTTCTTACACAGAGGGTGACATTGTGATTCCATTTTAGGTAACTTATAAAGAAAATGGTCATGGAAAGTAGGAGTCTAAAGACAGTTTGTTGAATAGGTTGGAAGGCTGGAGAGTCTCCCAGAGGATTGCAATGACTTACTCCTTTGGTAAGAATTCCTTGGCATCTCAGCATCTTTACATTCAGTAAACAGCTGCCGAAGAAGGTCATGGGTGGGCTCTGAGCTGGGCACAGTCATACATTGTGTGTCCCAGGTAGCACATCTGCTATTTGATCACCTGAGCTTTCATATGGCTTATCAGGAACCCTCCTGGGGCCCTGAAAGACCAGGATAAATAAAAAATAATAACTTTAATATTGCTTACAGTGCTAAACTCAGGAATTTTGTCAAATTACAACTGGAAATTGGACACAATGGAAAGAAGTTTGGTAACAACTAAGGCAAGTGATTCACCTGAAGGACAGGAAGCAACACTGAATGCACAGGAACTGGAGGAGCTCCAGAGACCAACCAGACAGCACAAAGACGAAGGAAATCAGGGCTATGTAGAAAAGGCAAGAGATGGGGAGCAGGCCGCACTGGGCCAAGACAGTGGAAATGACGGTTGAGTTTCTGAAGCAATACAGAGGAGGCCAGAGTTGGTAGGAATATAGAAACATTTCCCACTGGTGGTCCTAGGATTCTGAGTTTACTTGTCAGGAGAAGTGAGTATTATTTGATGGGAATGTGGCAAAGCCGACTATCTGAATTCCAAAGATATCTTACATTTCCCTGAATCCTCACATCTCCATGGGGCTAAATGTTAAATGCAAACTGATGGAGTGTGAGCAGAAGTGGTAAATGTCACTTCCAGGCCAAGAAGGTCAAGGACTCAGTGTGCCTTTCCAGTCTTCCCTTCTGCCTTCCAGGCCCTGGATGCACATCGGAAGCACCTCAAAGTGGGAGAAGCCTGGATCCTGTGTCATGGCTTGGAAGAGGGCCACCCAGGAAAACTGCCAGAAGAGGATTATCCCTGTTGGTCTTTGTGTGGGAGAAATAAACTTTCATTGTGTTAATCCTTTGAGATTTGAGGTTGCTCATTGCAACAGTTGGCCTGTCATTATTACTTCATTGTCGGAGGCTAGATTTCCAGGAAATTTTCAGGGGTCAGCTAAGTCACAGCCTAAATTGTCATTTGGGGCAAGGCATACATACAGTAGGAAGTGCTTGGTGTGGTCTTGGGGCAGATGCAAACATAGAGGGAATGTAGGCCAGTGGTCCTTTCTCCTCCATTGATTTTTGCTGGGGGCAGGCAGCCTTCAACACATTGATTTCAGCTGCTGATTAAGTCATGTTCTGCAGTCTGTCAGCAGTCACTTCATTTCCTTTCATCTCATGTTTTCACCTGCTTGGAGCTCCACAACAATCAGCATATTGAGTTTGCAATTGAACAGGTCAGAAGGGCCTTACAAATGGCTCCCTTCCCTGATGGCAGTGTTCAGCCTAGTCTCTTCCTTCCTCCTCCAAGACAGTTGTTCTCAGGGCTGTTGCCTGTTAGACAGAGAGAAATGCTAACACTGGAGGCAGCTGATGTTCACAGAGGCTATGGCAGGGCAGTGTTCCATCTGGAGGAAGCTGGCGACCCACCGGGAGTTACCTCAAGACCAAAATGCTCCTTTCTCTTCCACAGAATGAGCTGTGAAGATACCCAAGACCCAAAGCAAGCTTTACAGTAAACAGGAACTAAAGAGCATACAGCAGGTGGTAGCTCAGATGCCAAAGCAAACCTCATTCCAGTTGAAGAGGGGGCACAAAAATAGAATCTAATATGGCCCAGAGTGCTTAGAGTGGGAAAGAAGATTCGAAACCTCAGGACAGATGGGCGGGAGAGAGGGGGGTGGAATATCCTCTCCCTCTCCCTCTCTCTCTCTCTTGCATTTGTGGTTGCTTAAATGAGCAAGCACAACAAGATGGCTGCTGATGGATTGCTAGCTCCTGAGCACTGGCTGACGCACCTACGTGCCAGGTTTACCCAGCTGTACAGATGCCACAGTTGATCCGTCTGTTGTGTGTGCCACACGCTGCTACTGATCAATCTGCACATGCCAATTGCTTGATTTAGAGCAGGCTGGGACTGTGTGCAGAGCAGGTGGAGAATCGCTCTTGGATCCTTCTTGGCCCCTGTTCTCCTTTGTCCTGAGTAGGCAGTGAGGCGATGGTGAGCGCGCCCCTTCCATGCATGGCTCCATCTTCCATGGAATGCCCCAAGACGATGCTTGGTGCCCCCTCCACCCCACCCCTGAGGAGGGACTGGAGAATCAAAACAGATTGGAAGCTGTTGTTAGACAGAAGATGGGGCTCCCCTTTGTGGCAGATGCAAATGCTGTCAACAGGCAGAGGGGAAAGCAGGCCACTGTGCAATCCTTGTCAGGATTTCTGACAGGATTTCCCTTCCTCCTGTGAATAATAGGCAGGCCAGAAAGCTAACTCCCTGCACTGCAGGCTGGAATCTGCTATCCTGTCTTCTCCAGGAGGTCAGCTCCCTTGGCAGCCCAGCCCCAGTCATGGTGGTGGCGGTGGAGGCATGGCCAGTGTTGGACTCAGGTGTGTGTGTGTGTGCATGTGCACGTCTGTGTGTTGTACACAATGGTGTTTAGTCAACATGTCTTCTGGACTTTTCATTATCAGTTTGAGTAGCCATCTGAGGGACTTGCAGGGAAAGCAGGCTGAACCTGGCAAGGGAGAGAAGCCTCAGGGTCCAAAAGGCGGTCTGTAGGATGGAGAGGCCCTGGAAGTCATGGGTATGTGCAGGCCAGCCAAGCAGCACACCCTGCCTATTTCTAGGCTCTCATCTTCTCTCCTCCTAGAGCTAATCCTGGACAGCAATCGCAGAGACCTTGTCTTTCTCAAACCCAGCTCTCCTCTCCTCTCTCTAACTGATGGTTCATGCATCTCCCATATAGCCTGGAGCCTGGCCTGTGCTGCCTGCATAATCTCCTCTGGCCACCTTGGCCAGAGGCGCCAGTCCCTTCCCTCTCTGGAGCTTATTGTCTGAATATCTCCCACAATCCTGCCATGCATAAGATGGTTTGCAAACTTCTCTAGGTGATTAGTGCAGTGGGTGCTGGCACCCTGTCTTGTATATTTTGCCCTCCCTACACAGCACCCATAACAGCACTAATCAATTGTTAGACTTGAAATAAATTTTGGCTAAAATGAATGAGTTTCCTGGAAATGGTAACTTGAAGATTTGCCTCTGCAAACTACATGCCTCAGAAAAAATATTAGCAACAAAGACTTTTACACATGTCCCATGCTTGCCCCTCTCAGATCTTCCTCAAGGGCCAGGACATCCTGTTGAGTGATGAACCCCACTGCTCTTCCTTGGCTGTTGCCCTGCCCGCCATGAAACCACTGGGTGCTTCCTTCATTTGCCAGCATTTGTCATAGGCTCCGAAGCTGGAATCACTTGCTGCTAAGTTTTGGTTTTTCAGGCTTGTGCAGAAGTATTTTCATTTGTGTCCCTTTCCATCTGACTCTTTAAACTAATCCTTCTCAACTTCAGATCTTTGCACAAACCTCCTGTGTCATCATTGGGGAGCTCTGAGCCCAGAGCAAAGGTGGGAGGCAAAAAGCCCCCAAATCTGCACGTTTTATTTCATTGGTACATGTATTTAATCCATCTGCAAACTGTTCATTGGATAGCATTGCAGGCTTCTCTCTCTGGGAACACTAAGGTATGTGTATTCAACAGTGGAAAATAAACATAAGATTTTATTACAAAGTGCCACTGCCGCTCCTGGCATGAGTAATTTGTGCACCTGCATTTTAAAAATGTTTCAAAGTTTTTCCCCTTGGTGGATTCTGTGGTAACACACACTAGCTTCCCGGCTGTCACAGCCCACACTTGCAGGCTTCTGTCTCTTCTGCCCACGATCTCCAGAAGTCCTGTTTTCAGAACAGGGAGTGAGAAAACATGGAGACCACCCATGCAAGCCTGTGGGAGCACAGGACCCTGTTTTTTCCTGATAAATGCCTCCCTCCTGAGAATTAGCAAAAGTGAGGAGCATTAATCCCAAGTGCCAAGGGGTAGGGGACAGATTATCAAGGGAAGAATTAAGGACAGGATCTGCCTTACTAAGATGTGACAACAGTTTCTGGAGATGAAAGCAAAGCTGATCCCCTCTGCCATGCTCTTTGCCTCTCAGCCTGCTTTTCCTTCA